TTGGATCCACGAAGTATACATCGTGAATTTGACTTGGTTGGATGGCACCATTTACTTCCCATCTCCTTTTCTTCGGCTTGAAGGTCGCTACTAATCAAACAAAATATTAGTGAGAATGCGCGAGGCGTACAAACGTTAAAACTATTTTATGATAGAACTTACTTTGGTTATTTAACTGAGCGACAAAATCCGCAATGTTCACAGCTGGTCCATCTCTTAAACCAATTCGCAAAAGTTTTTCTTCGGTATACCTGAGAAACGCTCTACCATTGATACTATTCTCTTCGACTTTCGCAATTTCATTGTAGTTAAGAGAAAATTCATCCATCTTGGAATTTAAAAAATTTTTAACTTGCTCTACACTCCAACCTTTAACTGTTTCGACTGACGGATTAGCGTGAATAGTGGACATTTCAAAAAATATATCAAACGTGTAGTAGACTGTTATACAGTTTAGAAAAAAAAGAGAATTTGTAGGGAGCAAGGATTTGGGGTGTATTTATATGAAATCTATTGTCGCACAAATCAGTCAGACGATCCATAAATTACGTCACTAAATTCAATTTTTACACACATAAAATTTGAAGCCCGAAATGTGGGCGAAACTTTATTAAATAATTTTTCAGATACAGTAATAGTAACGGCAAATATGAAGTAGTGAGAGAAATGTATGATACTATCAAAGAGGGAGGGAGTACTCGGATCCTAGGCCATAAATGAGAGTCCCAGCATCATATTATTTCTGAAAAAATTTATAGCTAATTTGTTTCTTTGTCTCACACTCTTTACTACACTAGACTTCCGAAATAAATTATCCCGCCCATATCTATAGAATTTTTGACTAATTATATCTCTCCCACCCACACAGACTATGTAAAATAACATTCCTCGCAAGAGAACTTTCTCAATATTGAGTAATTTCGAAACTATAGCACAAATTCGGGGATTAGTAATTGTGGTAAAAAAATATTTAGCAAAACGCCTTTCGACCCGATTCATACTTACTGCTATGATTCATAATATTCCGTTCCATCTTGCTTAATAGGTTATAATAAAAGTGTTTTGATTTTTTTATTGCCAGGTGTACGATGCTGCGCCAAACTTCAAGAATTCGGCATATGATTTCATTGCCAGTTGATATACTGCGCCAAATCCATTCGTGGTCAGATAATTCATTATTTATCGTCAATACCATTTTTTCAAGTTTTGCATTCCCTGCGAAAATTCCTTGGAGCACCTCTATTGTTAGGACACCCCGGGTTAGCATCTCATAGATTATAATTATGATGCTAAAGAGTATGATCAAAAACATATCAGAGTTTGAAAGCATTTTGTGATGAGAGATTGATTTGAGAGATTGGTTTGAGAGATTGGTTTGAATAAGATTTATAAGGTATATGCAAAACTTTATTTTTCGATTTGCGATATTTATGATTGATTACTCTTAAAAGGCTTTTTGGTTTTGTTTAGAGCAGAGTACTTGTTAGAGTATTTGGAGGATTGATTGAATTATGCTTTTGGAAAATTAATATATTTACTTTTTATTCGATTCTCTTACCAGACACCACCACCATATCCAGTATTTTTATAAATAAAATTTCTCTGCAGTTCGTCGCTACGATTGTCGCAAAACATGAAGGGTCCTGGAACAAATATGGCAATCCTATCTATTAATTTGCTGATCCCGAAATTAAGCTGTATTAGCATGCAGGCATCTTATCGATCAATAAAGTCAAAAAATATTAGCATCCTCCTTTGGTCAAGACCTGGCCCCACTTCAGGAAAAAAGTTTACCATTATTTTTTCTCACTAAAATGGTTAGGTTATCTCTCACAGAAGCAAGGCTTCAAGGGATAAAAGTCTGATTTGCCGTAACGAATCTAAAACGCTTATAGCTCATCAACCAACAACCCAATTTTGATGAGGATTGAATGACTGGATTCGGTGGGTTCTGAACTTCTATAATGTCAAATTTCGTGAAAATCCGATCACTAGATGCAGAGTTATTTCGATAAATGTAAGGTCAATTATTTTAGACATAATCACGAAAGATCTTGGAGAGGACCACATTGCCAAAGTGGCGTGTGAAATGTTGGTGACCTGGTAACCTACAAAATACTAGATTTCGGTTCTGGGAACCTAAAGGAGGTGAGAAATTAGTAGGTTGTTATGTAAGAATTCATAGCTACCCAGTGAATCCCAAAATGTATTATTAGCACTATAAGAGAATTGAAACTTCAACCGCTTACGAAACGTGGTCTAGACGTTGTAGAAATCCCAAACCAGTTCTATCAGATGCAAGACATCGAGAGCTTCAAAACAAGCTAAGGTATGAAGTATTTGGATCACAGGAAGCCGGAATAGCCTTTATAGTTGGGAATTTTTACTGTGCCACATCCAGCGCTGGGGTTAGAAGTTAATTATCAAATCATAGATCGATTTTGCGAAACATAATACTGCGGAAACGTATGCTATGATCGCCACAAAACATGAAACAAATATGGCAACCCTAATGTCTATTAATTTGCTGATTCTGATTCAGCTAAAAAAAATATCTTAATCTCATACTATACAATTTTTCCCAGGCGGTGATTAATCACACATGACCGGTCTAAGCCACAATCGCGAACTTAAGTTTATTGCTTGAACTGTTGCAGGTAAGACAATATTCTGTTCCATACCATTCACCATGTAATCCATAATTCCCATGTTTTCTATCACAAATAGGGCA